GAAGAAGAAAAAAACCCGATACTACAGAAAAGGGCACAGCAGTCCAATGGCTAACACCAAAGTTAAGGTGTTAACAAAAAGGAGAAACTATGACCACTCCATGTTTATGTAACTGGACCATGACAGTAGGTCAGATTCTGGAGATACTTTATGCTGAAGACAGTTTGCTTTAATGAGTGGTTCCCAGTCTTTTTAACTTGTGACTCCTAAAACGAAGCTATATCCATTTTAGTGTTTTCAAGTAGATATGTACAGGTAACGTTTGGTAAAGTCACAGGAAAAAAACATAAAGAGTCTGAACAGTCTGAACAAAAATGAATTACAATGGTATATTGGTCTCAACTTCCTTTACTATTGATTATTTTTTGCGTTTTAGAGATGTTGCTGTTTCATTAGCAGATCCGAAAATTCCAACAGGTGCATCATAAATATGTTTTTCTGCTTTATTATCTCAGTTTTATCTCGGTTATCAGTCTTACCTTGACCATTAGTCAAGTATTTGTTTTTTATCACCATACTTGGAAATTAATGTTAATCCATTACTGGCACCTACAGCAGCTTGAAGTGTAGGACCCAGCAAACAGATTAACACATGAAAACTGGTGCTTAAATAAAGTCATCATAGTAACTTGTCTTAGAGACCTCAGGCCTGCTACAACAGCATACCCCGCTGACCTCTGTGACCCCTCTGTTGACCTTTGACACCACAGTGATCTCAAAGAGGCAAATGGCTCTCCTGAAGACTGGAGATGTGCAAGAAGAAGAAGAAGAAGAAGCTGGAATCCAACTAGAATCCAACTACCCGCTGACACACAAGTAACAACAGAGAGACTCAAGTTACAAAACAGCTGCAGCAGTGCAGCTGAACATCTGTTACTAGTTACAAACAAGATAAAGAGGAAATAATGGATATATAAGTGATCAACAGGGTTAACAGTGAAATAAAGATTTAAAAAGAACATTAAAACAAAGTAAAATAAAAAAATTTAAAGAACAACTCGTTAACAAGAAAAACAAATTAACTACAAGTATTAATTATGGCTCAGTGGTTAGCACTGTCGCAGCACTGTGTGGTGAGCAGGAAGGTCCCCCATCTGGCACCAGGTACCATGATGGGGGAGCTGATCATTAAAACCATTTCTGAGAGAAGTGAAGCACCTTCCACCAGCTGACTGGGTGGTGCTGCAGTTTTAATGGCAGTAATGGTAGCATTAACATCTTTGTGGACAAAATGCAAGTCACCATGAAAGTCGGAGGGAGGCAGCGGAGGAGGAAATGATCTGACTGAGCAGCCTGTTAACTGTGGTGTAAGTGGGAGATCAAATATCAATTTTTCCTACAGCAGTGTGATGGTCTCAGCCTTGTCCAAACCAGCAGCCAGAAGTCTTGGGTAACATCATTTCCACTCACCCTCACTTTTACCCTAATTTCACTTTTTTTTCTCCAAACAATTTATCATTTACAGGCAGCTTTTATATAGGGTAAATAAACAACAGATAATTTAATTTGACATTCTAGCATGCAGATTTAGTTAATTGTGATTTATCAACGCTTAAGTTCTATTATTGTTAAGTTACATATAGTATATAATGTTCTTTTTCTTGATTAACTGTTCTGATGGTCCAGAGTTGGCTGGCCATCATAGTAAAATATTGGACTGAGGAGATTTTCCCAATGAGTAAATCAAAAAACAACTTACCTTGTGTCCTCTGTCTTGCAGCTCTATGACAAACAGATGTCATAATTTTTCTTTATATCCACCATGAATGCGCATTCAAAGAGTTTTAAGATGTGTGGAATGAATGAAAGTTACATGGCTCCATCAAGTTGTGTCAAGTGTTTTGCATGACAAATGAATGAAAATGATGATGACATCATTGATGATTGGCAGAGAGATTTAGAGACCTCACGTTTACGGTGATTTTCAGTACGCGGAAAACTGGTGTGTGAACAGATAATGGGTGAGAATCTAGTAAAACACAGTAATAACACGTGTATTAATACATGCCTTCAGAGGAGAAGATATAATTGCTGACAAAGCTGTCCATGAAGACAAAATGTACTTACATCTGCTTACAAGTGCATGATTAAATGTTTTGAATAGTGCTTATAGAGTAAAATGCCAGACAAGGGGTGTTAAAGTGTTTAGTGTTGTAATTTTTGCTTTACATATATTTCATTATCTTCTTCACCTCTTCACTCCTCACAACGACAGACTCCACCTCCGTCTAAATGGCAACTCTCAGCTCTGAAAGCTGAGCTCTTCAGTGCACTATCTTGAAACGACCCAAGAAACACGCAGCAGTAAAGTGACACAAGACAGGACAGGACACTTTAGACTCTTCAGGCTGGTTAATTGATTTCTTTTAAAACTGACTTTGGTTAAAATTTAAGATCTTCGATGTGATCTCTGGAATGTGACTGAAACATTACCCACAAGGCAACAATGAATCCGTTTCCCTACTCTGAGATTGTACACTGGTCAGTTCAGTCTCTCTGTATGTTTATAAAATCTGCACTGCTCGTATATTGCACTTTTCTAAAGACAAAGCTCTCCACTATACATGTTCATTCACCTGCTCACACACAATCATATGGTGACAGCTGCCATGCAAGGTTCAATATGAACATTTGACCACGTAAGAGCATCACTGAATCTAATTAACATAACCCCCCCGCTACACTTTTCAGTACTCACTCAACTCCAAATGAGGTTCATTTTATTTATTATCATTTTACATTGGAAAAGCAAAAGTCAGTTATCCCAAACTGTACTTCCATTCACATATTGTAGCTCTTTATTTCTAGGTGATTAATGCTTATATTCTTACAAAACAAAAAGATCTCAGACACAATCTGTACACGCTGTCCAAATCACACCCCTCCCTTCAACCCATCTATGACAAATACGCTAACATGGGAGCCAAATTTTAGTGCAGTGTTGAAAACCTGTTCACACACACATACAAAAAAAAACAATCAACAAGTCGCATGTACGTCTGTGAATCACATGCGTGTTAAGTGTCTGGACTCCTCACCTAAGACACAATAGGACACGTTTAAGCAGGTGTGCATTGTAGGTAATACAAGGAAGGCAGGCGATTGAGGATAAATCTGACACAGAATAATTTCACTTGGACTGCCGTGTCTTAGAAAAGAAAAGCAGGAAATGGTTCTGTTCATAAAACCACTCTTCAAAATAAAATGTAAGGGGAGGAATTCAAGTTTTACACTCCAAGACGTTTCTCACGTGGAAGATTTTAGTGACAATGATGGTGTGCAGCTTTTTCATGGAAAATCTGGAAGGGTGACAATGAGGAGGACTCATTCAGGATTAGGAAAAAAAAAAATAAAAAAAAATCAAGTAACGGGGATGAAATGTTCAGTCCCCCTCCCTGCCCACACATGTGACACATAAAGGTCCCACGTTGTCCACTTTTCATAATGTTTGCCTTCAAATATCACCAGGACAAAAACATGTTTCACAATCAAATGTTTTAAATAAATATAGCTCCATTGATAGAATTTCTTCAAAAAAATAACCCTTAGAGCAAACTCTCACACGAGAAACTGAGCACTAACCCACCCACCCCAACCCCAACACACATACCGTAACCCTGCAGATGTAAAAATACCGTTGAAAAGACAGGTGTGTGTTAAAAACCAGCAAAGTAAGACTGACTGGAGGGATTCATACTAGGTGATAAAGAAGTGCCAAACCACAGAAGAAGAGCAGACTTTGGTAGAGATAATTTTGTTTCCATTTGATTATCAGAGAACTTTGACAGAGATACGTTGTCTCGAGAACATGAGATAATTATTTTGTGATCACAAGAGAACAATTTTTTTTTTTTGTGATCATAAAAAAGGTCTATCAAAGTACCAAATAACACCTGGACCAGCTTTTTAAATACTAACTGGAGAACTTTCAAAATGCAGATTTTTTGAAAAGTGTAATAAATCTAGTTTTTAGGCAATTAAAAACTTTGTACCACATCTTAAACATCAAAACAAGTCCAATCAAACTGATTAAAAAAAAAAAATTCATGGGTCAAGAAAACTTCTAGAAAAAAATTAAAGCCTTTATTTGGCAGCTACTTTATTATAGAACAGTGAAAATATTTTAACCCACCAGTCTATGATTAAATATGAAATTTAAAACTGTGTAATATGGCCCCTTTAAGAAGAGAACAGACAAACATTAGTCCGGCCCGTAACCTATGTTGACCAATTCAATGTCCTTCAGTACATATTGGCAGCACATACACATACATACACAAGCATACACACACATTCACACACATTCACACACACACACTCCCACACTCAATACTGGTAGTGTGATTCAATCAGTGAAATCTATCTGATGTGTGTCGTGGTTGGCTGCATGGTGAGTACGACAGACAGGGAGGCGGCTAAGGTGTCGATGACCATGAAGACGGCAGCCGTGCGCACCAGAGAGGTCAGAAAGGGAGCGATACAGTGAAAAGGTCCATGTCCCATTGTACCAGCTGAACGACGGGTACTGTAGCCCCTGGGTCCCCCGTTTGCACAGACGTCACCACACCCAGCGGCTGGGTGGAGGAACAAAAGTGGATGACGACAACTGTCCATGTTCGACTGTGGTCCAAAGAAGCTTGTCCAGTTCATCAACAAGACAACTTTTTCCCCTCACATACAAAACCATAGCAGCAGGTAGAGCTCGAGGATCTCCCTCCTCGAGGAAAATAAAGACAAAAAACAAACAAACAAACAAAGAAAAAAAAACAAAAAAACAAAAACAAATAATACCTTTCCCCGTCATCCACATGAAAAGCAAGCTATGGAGAACTACCAGTTCTGGGAAGTGGCAGATGTCTTTTTGCTTTATTCTTCTTCCCCTCCTCCATCTTCTTTTCCCCCTGAATCCAAACAATCAAGCAACCAACATTGTCCTCTGTCGTTAGTCTCTTGTCAGCAATTTTCCCCATTTTGCACTTCATCCCCGCTCCCCTCCCCAAGTCAAGCCCTGCCCCCCTCCCCATTCTCCCTCATCCTCTCCCAGGCGAGGATGAAGGCGAATCATCGTTCGGGCTCTGACTCCAGGGCCAGCACCCGCTTGCGCTCACGACACTGCTTCTTGTGGGCGGGCCAGTCCCTCTGCTGGCATTGGGAGCCACAGTAGCGTGCCACCTGGCAGCGACCGCAGATGTTGAACTCCCGCAGCTGTGGAAAGACAGGGAACAAGGTCATTATAGGGTTTGAGGATCAGACTGTCAAACGCTTTGTTACTGTGATCCTTGGCAAGAATTTCACTGGACAAATCAACATGTGGATGGGATCTAGAGGTCTAAATTCAAATAATTGAAAATCATGCATGTTTCACAGGAATGCCAGTTTCAGTACATACCCTCCTCTCAATGAGTGAACAAGGAGGATAATGACACTCGTAGTAGGTGCAGGAGCACTCCTCTTCCTCCACCAGCTCCCCGTTAGCGTTGTAGTAGCGTGTGCGGCTCAGCTCCAGATACTGCTCCTCCACAGGGTCGGCTGGCACCTGCTGGATGGCCAGCCAGTACAGAGACTGCTCTCTGGACAAGAAAGAGAATATGAAAAGAAATATTAGGTATGTTACATGTTTGAGAACAAAAATGTATGCATGTGCCATGTGAAATATATTACATTTGTCTTTTCCACAAGTCACATGATGACAGTGATCCAAACTTCCACTTCTCTTAACCAAGGCCACTCACAGCACTTTCTTCCTCTATATTGTGTAAGTATTGCTAGATTTACTTCTACTGCTTCTTTAAGAGGCAAGAAGCCAGTTCTTAACTTCTTAAGAATTAAGTGTCAGCTAACCAAGGTTACAAAACTTGATATTTTTCTACTCATTTTCAAGAAAATGAACCACTAAATGTAAGAAGAACCCAATGTGATCGTACCGCAAAGCTAATTTAAGAAAGGACATGGGGGGAAGAAAAGCAAATATTGACACTTGTTTTTCTGAGCAAATGCATTTATGTCTTCTGCACAGGACAGGCTGGGACCTCAATAAATCAGACTGGCTTCTGTTATAGATGAAACTTCATGCTTGTGCCATGCTCTACATTCCTACAGTGCTACAAGAATTCAGCCATTAGTACAGTAGCACTAGTACAGCTGTGGTCTGACCTTTGCTTGCTGGAAATCTCCTCTGGCTTGGGGCTCCAGCCTACTGGCACCAGTCGCAGGTTGTCTAGCCGGTTGTCCACTGTCACAGAGTTGATGTGGATGACTTGAAAACTGGGTGCAATGCCACCTCTGTGCTTCTCCCTGGGATAAGACATGTATCCAGATCATAAGTCAGCCAGTCCACTACAACTTACAAAATAACCACAGCTCATTAAGACAATAACAGTGCATGACTTCTAAGGACTGAGAGCAGGACTTTTTCTTTTTCCTATTAAAATATTATCAGCAGCTTACTCAATACTTTTTAAAAACAGTACAGTGTAGAGACACTTAAGTGGTTGAGAAAAATTTGATACTGCAATCACCATATGAAAGATCAATGATAACAATCATACCAACCTATCAGCAACTAAAAAATGACACATTTTGAGACACGAATCACTTGTCCACTCCACCATCAGAGTTTTTTAAGGTACCAAATTTTTGCCAAAAGTTTTACTGGTAGTTTCATGAGAGTTGTCTTGGACGACAGGGGTATTGTCAGCTATAACGCACCTGCCTGCACTAGCAAGGATTCCAAATCTTGTTTGGTAAAGAAAAGATGCACAAAGCGATATGCATCTGGTTCATCTCTGCTTTGTTTTACCAACTGCTTCCGGCTCACCTCTACAGCACTCATTCTGCAGTTTTAACAGACAGTACAAACAATAGTAAGACATCTGGATACAGACGATTTACTTCTGGGCTGATTACGATCAGTAGGTCCCATCAAGGACAATTCCACAATAAGGATGCTTGCCAGCACAGAGAGTTTGACTCCAGATGCTCCAACAGTAAAAACTGTTTATACTGCACCTGATATAATGAACAATTTACTTACCAGAGCAGCTCATGCAATGGCCTTCCTGCCCAGCGGCCTTTGCCAATGTCGAAAGCGTAGGCAAAGATCTTAGCTCCATTGCCATCCGCATCTACCTCCATGCGTGCCTAGAAATTGAATAATATCATGGTTTAATATTGGCACTATCAGAAAAGGGGCAAAGGCAAATCTTGTGATAATCATTTGCAGTTGAATCCTCATTGTTTACCTCAAAGGCATAGTTTTCCACAAGCGGTATGTCCTGCTCATCAATCAGTGTGTATTTTGTCTGAAATTAGAAAATTGAGAGAAAATACTTTATTTTTATCTTAACACTTAGATCTGTAACAACCACAACTCTTTCAGGATAAGCAATCTTTCCATGGCTTTCTTTAGCAAACTGTCAGCTTGTTAAAACCAACATTTTGGAAACCTTTACAAAGAGCCCAAAGGGGGGGGAAAGCCAATGTGAGAGGAAGACCCTATAAACTCATCAAATAACAAAATGTCAGCTACATGCTAGTCTGCCCTCTCCAAGCATTCACAAATAGCTGTCTGAGTAGTTTGAAGCTCTATTCAAATAATTAAATTTTAAATAAATAAAATAATAAATAAAATGATTTCCAAATTAAATTAGTGATTATTTCAAAGTGAATAATTTGACAAGCCCAGTAGTAGGAAAACATCAGTTTTTCCAGGGAAGAATGCTTGTCTATTGCAGAACCACCATCTGTTATTTAGCAATGGCTACCCGCAACATTGAGTTCAGGTACCAATGACCAGGTTAAACATTTTACCAACCACCTCCCCCTGCAAAATTACATTGAAATACAGCTTTAGCACATACTCATGCACAATTTTGCTGGTTTAATGCTACTTATTAAATGTGGCATGTTGACGGAAGCCAGCAGCTGAGAGTATGTTCAAACTCCTATTGGGGAGTTTTCCCTGCACATGACAGCTGCAACATAGACATAAAAAGAAGGAACATCTCTTTTAACCATCAAAACTTTTAATATCATCAAGAGGAAAATGATCTTGACAACCTATTTTCAACCAACTGAACTGAATGTTTCTCCTCATTTTCTTTACATTAACCATATTTAGACTCTATACAACACCTTCATAAAAAGGAGACAATAGTTTTAACCTTGTTAGAGCTACCTGCCCCCTCAGTTAGTAGGTGGGATTTACAAATACACGTGACAAGATACCAACACAGTAGCCCCACGCTTCACTGAGCATGGTACAACTCACGGGTGGTGTTGCTCACATACCAAAAAGGTCGAAACATGCAATGTGACACGTTGTCTCGACTGCCAGACTATTGTGTTGATCTAAACCACCGGAGTGACATCATGTAAAGTAGTTGTGTGACTGCTCACTGGAGCCCAGGAGCCCTGTCACTCAGCAGGTGGGCAAACAAAACGGTCTGCACCGTTCATCCCCCGAGTGTGAGGGTCTTGTGACACCAGCAACCCGGAGCATTTCTTGACCAACATTCAGTCACAGTTTAACATTGTGATAATTATGTAACTTTATCCAAAACAAAAAACACGTTTAAGTTTTGGGTCACAGCTGTTGAGTAGTGTGCTGTCTTGCCGGTGCTTTGTCACGTTGCACAAAAGAATCAGTTGATGGAGCATGGCAATGGCTTCCTCATTAGCAGACTCTTCACCGTGTAATCCAAATAACAGAGCTAGCGTGGCACTGCTAACTGAACCACCGACCGTTAACGTGACATGACCCAACGCCGACAACAAAACAACAGTATTCTCCATTTCCACACTACCCGAACGGGTACTGACAAAAAAGCACCCACTAGTTTACCTTTGTGACATTATTTCACCGTTTAATGTTAGCCAACAGCTAACGTATCCTGCTACATGCTAGTTAGCGTTAGCTTCCTAGCGAGACTGTGCGGCGGCGGCGGAGGTATAGAAAACCAGTCTGGCTCGGCACGGCCGGCTTTCCTAATCCGCTCAAATGCGGCTAAAATCGGTACAGCCGAACCACTCTTGCATCGGCAAAGGCTTGGTAACAATTTGCGCGGTAGACTAGCAGCGACTCATCATCGCTAAATATGTTTTTTCCAGCGCCTTTTGTGGTCCCCGCGGGCCCTCCCCCGGCCGCACATGGCAGTCCTGGGATCCAGCTCACCTTCCCGGCCACACGGCCGAGCCGTACGATCCCGAGCTTGAAGTCAGACATCAGGAGGACGGGCGGTGGTGACAGAGAGAGGCGTAGGTTCCAACCTAAACGTTACTCAGGTTTAAAACTCGCCGGGGCAGCCCCTCAGCCCCAGCTGCGCTGCCAGTTTGGGTTAACTGGTTGAGTGTTCGCTGACTCCGGGTCTCTCCGGCAGCAGCCCAGCCTCGGTGACACACCGCCGCTGGCGCAGGAAAGCCGAGCGAGCTGCTGGGGGCGGGGCGGGACGAGCCGCTAACCACACCGTCCAATCAAATTCGACGTTACGTTTTTTAACGCCAGGCGTCCGATCACGCTGTCCAATAGAAAACGAGTATCTCCAAGAACCGCCTGTTTCAGTTACTACGTCAACACACTCTCGTGACTTCCAGCCATTTTCCCGCGAAATGTTTGATAGCTGGGTGGGATTATCTGCCTTTATTCAAACCTCTAACCGATTTATTACAGATGTGTTTGACGTCATGGTTTATGACGTTTACTGCGAAATTAGGCTTGATGCAGGACATTGAATATGCAGCGTATTTACATCAGTATTACTGCCCTGCATCGATGCTACTGCAAAATTATTCAATTATACACGAATGCTTATTGCTCAGCTATGTGCTTAGAGGTGTGTATCAAGTAATAACCGGCAACAAAGGTTTCAAAGTTGAGTGCATGCATATATAAATTATTTAGATATGGCTTTTTTCTGACCTTTTTATATAACTGATGATGGTATTCAGTTGGCTACTTGGTATGATTTCTTAGTTTAAAATGAAATATTGAAAAAAATTGAACACGTGTTAAAACAGAAGGAAAAACACAATGTGCCATTTTGCATCCCAATTAGCAACAGTGGATGAGCTGGAAATGAGAAAGAAATGCAGAGATTGAAGTTTGGAATATAGGGGCATTAAAGAAGGTTAATCTTATAGCAGCTTAATAAGTGCATTCATCAATCTAAATAAGCTTCAGCGCCTGATTTCTGTCATGTGGTCACCTGCATCTTGAGTTTAAATCCCTGCACATCTGTTCCATGATGAAGATGACTTCATGGTTCAGTTAGTAAGGTGAAGAGCACCCTCTGGAGATCAGGAGCCGTATTACAGAAAGAAGCAATGGAAACTTGAGTCAGGGGCTGCTTTAGAAAACTGGAAAACTGGAAATTTAAAAGGTGTGTTTAAAAAGATAATTAAGAATTTTTACTAGAAAAGAAAGCTAACTTACTTTTTTTCTTCATCTTTTCATGACATTAAAAACACAAGTACACAAGTACAAGAACACGTTTATTTTCTTAAGCCTGAACACACCTCAGATTTTCTTAAAGGTAAGTAAAACTCATGTTTCTTTCTCCACGGCAAGTAAGGGACTCAGGTGAGGGATATTTTAACCTTGTAATAATGAAATAAGAATGAACCAAAACGTGTATGTAAGCTCAATTAAAACGTCATCACATGATGATGCAAATCAAAAAGAAATGTCAGGTAATTGCTGCTACTGTATACTGTATATTGTCTGTCGAAAAGCTGTCCAGCTGCAATAAGACGTCTATACTTTACCTGTTAAAATGTTAAGCATGATGTCAGACATGAAGACAGAAATAGCTTTTTTCTCCCTGTTTTCTATTTGTTTACTATTTTCCTGCAAACCTGTAAGGAAGGAGAGTACAAGGATTCACATGTTCAGATCTTTCTTCCAAACACAGAAAACTCTTGTTTGATACATGATCTGAACACCTGTATCCTATATGTCTTGTGTTTACTAGTTTTACCCTTCACAAAACAGCCTTTTATGCTGGTATAACAATGGTTTCCCTGTGCCTCTGCTGTTTCCATTTCAAAGTGAAATGTGTGGAAACCCACCTAAGGCCTGCCACTCTTCTGTCAGTCACTCCTATCCAGTTACCCACAGACGTGGAGCTGGGAGGAGTGGGAGATGTGTCGTTCTTGTTTCCTCTCAAACTTAAAAACAAGAAGTCTGTTTTGGGAGAGAAAAGGATGCAAAGACAATACAAAGCTGTTTACTTTCAATGGAATATCTCTACTGCTAGTTTCATGTGACATTATCACACTGTAAACAGTTCTACTAATTTAACACTATCAATAGATTATTTTTGTATATCTTTTAGTTGCCCCCAGTGTTCTTTTAGAAATAAAAACATTGTTGGAATGCCACACCTGACACACCGACACCTCCAGACATTTTCAGTGAATAGCCAGGCACCTGTTTATAATAGCAGACCCAGACCATCTTTCATAATGTAGCCTACATTTGGTCTTCCTTGAGGTTATTCTCTCTGGAATTAAGTGCTTTTCCAGACACTGGGTGTTGTTTACTGTTGCAAAACAGAGCTGTCTCTGAGGTGTGGCTGCACCTCTGATCCCTGCGCATACTCATATGATGAAACAGAGTATCTATCACACCTATCCACCCTGGAAAATTTAATTATACTCTTCTGCAGTTTCTTAGTTAGTTTGTACAGTTTCCTTCATACTATGGGTAATAATTCAATATTACTGTCTATTGTCTTTCAGTAGAATCATATTGATGATATAATATGATATGATATATCATTTTGCTAAATCCTGTTGTCTTAAGTAGCAACATCACTTCAAATAGTAATCATAAAATGAGAAGCTGCAGCTTTTGTTTTATATCTGAAGAGTTTCGTCTGATGTGAATTACTGCAAATGTGGTTTTGCATGGTTTCATATGGTAACATATATCTCACCCAGACCAATTTCACAGTAACGGCTGAATTCATATATTCATATTAAGGCAAACTTGTAATTGAGGATTTGGAGTTATTGATGAAAAATCTGCATTTGTGCTGAACTGATCGGTGCTAAACTCTCAATAAAAGACATATAAATTATATGAGAATGCAGGTTCAAATCCTGTGATTTGCACATAATCCCTTAAATTCAAGAGTGAGTTGTACTTTTAAATGTCTGATGCATTAATGTCTGATTAATTTTAATATTAACATGTTGTGTGTTTACATTAAAACTGACCCAGCAAGTGGTGTTAAGAACAAACTACCCAATAGATTATAATCTTAAATTCAAATTTGCATCCATTACCAATTATTTACCTGATAAATATTTACCAGAAATGTTGTCAGGTTGTCAAGTAAGAAGCAGCCTACAATATTTCCCACTGAAATATAGTGTTGATTACAAGTCAAAATTTGAGTAACAAAGAAAAACAGGGAGAGAAAGAAGGAGATAGGAGAGAAACTTTAAATATAAAACTTAGTATTTTAGGTTGTTATATGCCCTATGAATTGATTTACCTAGTTGTGGTAGATCATCCTGCAAATGGCTTAAAAGACTCAGAAGACGGTTATCAGCTGACGCCCAAACCAAACAACAGAAAACCAGCAAAGCTCTGACCTCTGATGTCCATGTCACTTCCTTGTTCCGCTCACCTGTTACACCTGTGTTACAGCGCTGCGCTGTAGACTATAGGTGCGACTCCTTCCCAGCCGGTGCACCTGTTGTGTTAATGTGCCATGTCGAAGGAGCTCGTAACGTGCGAGTTAATATGCTCACCTACATCGAGTGAACAAGGGGGTACTTTGAAAAGCAAGGGGATGGATTGTGAGCAGCCTATTTTCTCGGTATTGAGCGGCGGTGTGAAGATGGAGGTGGGGGGGAAGTCCTGTGACGGTGGCGGTGGTGGAGCGGCCTCACCGGCTGCGACCATCTCTGACACCGAGTCCGGGATCTTTTCCGGTGAATGTGAACTCTGTGTGGAGCACGAGTCTGAGCTGGACTGGTTCTGTGCCACCGAGCAGAAACTCATCTGCTCTCACTGCGCCATCGTGGGCTCCTGCCACGGACACACTGTGACCCCTCTGGCCACCAGAGTTACCACAGTCAGGGTAAGTGTGTCGAGCAGCTCGTACAGGCTACTGTATGTGTAATCATAAAGTTATTTCTCTTTGATATTGTAGCCCATTGATTTTGCTGTGGCACATTATTGGTTGTTTGTACGAGGTATATTTGTTTTGTTTACTGAGGGCACCTGTAGGGTTAAAAAATAGCCCAGGAAGGTTACTTTCACTTTATGTTAGTGGGGTTGGTTTCTAACTAGCTCATAAGACTCATAATTTACTATTATTATTGATTTTATCATGTATTTCACCGTTTAAATAATCTAGTTTCCTTGAAAAGAGATTGGCTATTTCTTTTTGGGAGATTTTTCATGCCAAACATGAGAAAATGTTTTCAGCCAGTCATGTGTCAAGGACAGCAGCAGGTATGAAGCCACGAGGACTGACTGATAGCATGCAGAAATAGTGTTCACATTATTTGACTGATTGTAATAAGTGTGTACTTAATCAACTTAATCATTCTGTCTTGGGTGTGTCACTTTTTACGTATGGTTTTCCTCTATGATTCCTCTGCATGGAATTTAAAAAGACAGGATTTTCTTGTTGTGTCTCCAGCTGGTGATGTTCAGGCATTGTGATGTGCTTGTTTAAATCAAAAACTGCAGTGTGTGTGTGTGTGTGTGTGTGTGTGTGTGTGTGTGTGTGTGTGTGTTTTCACCAGAACCAACTGGTGGATGTGTGTGAGAAAATGCAACTGAAGGCGCTGAGGATTGAAAGGTTTATTGACCAGACGCTGACAACCAAGGAGCAAAAGCTTCAGGTGAGAAATACCTCTGTTCCCCACCCACTCAGCCACACACTTAATAATCACATAGACACAGTTCCAAACATAATAATGTTACACATTGCTCAGTGGTGCCCACACTGTGTCATGAGTTCAGTGTTTTGACATTGGTTGGCTCGCGGACATATGTGGAGTTTGTGTGTGGGGATACTCTCCCCTATAACAAGTCTCTTTGCATTAAGGCTGCAACTAAGGGTTATTTTCATTATCAATCAATCTTCTGACTGCTTCTTTTGATTATTCAAGGTGGTGTCTTCAAATGAGTTTTTTTTCTCTGACCAACTGTTCCAAAATACAAAGATATTCAGTTTACATTGATACACTTAAATAGCTGGAACCAGTGAATCTTTGGCATTTTTGCCTAATAAATAACTTAATCGATTCATCCGTTATTGGACTAATCGTTTCAGCATTGGAATACCTTCATATTTCTTTATGTGATTCAATATGTGAATACTTGGTGCAGCATAAAATATCAATATACTGAGCATGCAGCTTAAGTCTAAATTCTTCTGAATATTAGGTGGATGGTATGGCTGTGTCTTTTTCTCAATTCACTTACTCCCTAACAATCATAATGACATATAATTATTGACACATAAATTATCTTAGAACAAATTTCCTATAATGAGGTATTTCGTCGTTGTAAATGGTTGAGTAAGATAAAAATAGAATTTGTTCTCTTACCTTGAAGTTAAGTTTCTGTTAGCTGATTCAGTCATTTTCTCACCACCAGGCAACAAAGCAAAGGTCGCAGAAAAGCTCCTCATTCCCTGCACCCATATTTATTAACCTCTCTTGACATAATGGGTCCACAGTGGTCACAGACACAGGTCCTTCATGTGCAGTTTTACAAGTAACAGAGAAAACCAGACCTTGGGCAAACGTCAAGAACATTGTAGAAAGAAAACAGATGATATCAAGTCACCAAAGCCAATATGTCTCAATATAAAACAAACTTACTTGACATCGTGGAAACGATTTTGTTGGTCAAAAGCCTTGTGAGTGAATCTTTTTAACTTTCTGTGAATTTGCCAAGTGTTTGTTTGGCTGCTTACGAGCAACAGAACCTTGGGCAGGGACACTGTTTGACCAACTTGTACCTGAAGGTTTGATTTAAGGGAGGCCTGAATCATTTGTGGGCCACACAACTCATATGGGGAACTGTAGCTTTAGAAAATATGATTCCCTCTCCAACTAGGAACTCTGACTTTGAGAGCCATTGTGCAAAAGTTATTCACTTGTTCTGCTCAAATTGGACTCACATGGATGCTCATAAATTCAGAAAGTGTTTTGGTGACTTAAAACTTTTGACTATAGTGATAATTATACAGTAATCCTTGACTGTACAATTAAATTCAAAATCCACACAATCTAAGGGGTTCATCTTTTCAGATGAAACAGTCAAGTAAAAATCACCCTTGCTTGAGATGCTAATGCAAAGCTAAGTACATGGTCATACGTGCTGCTTTGTACCAAGGGTTCACAGGATAAAGGTCTCTAATGTCTCTCGACTGTACTATATATTCTTCTCCCCTGTCTCTTGCTGTAGGCAGCGGCGAGGAGGGCGAGGGAGACGGTGCTGGCTCAGGTCAGCGCGGCGCGTGAAGCCCTGGAGGAGGAGGAGCAGCGTCTCTTAGAGGAGGTGCACAGAGAGGAGGAGCGGGTGGAGCAGTGTCTCCTCACCCAGAGAGCCCACTGGAGCCAGGCTTTGGCGAGTCTTTCACAAACACGCTCGCGTCTGGTGCACACGCTGACGCACACTCCAGATGCACAGCTGGTGGTGAGAGAACCGGGGGCAGTTGTGGCAAGAAGGGAGGGAGGTTCAGTGATGACTTGGAATCATTGTGGGAAGATTTTTCTGAAGAATAGAGGAAGTTGTGCTCAAATATCAGTGTCTTCATAATGGTCATAAATTACTGCGCTATCTTACTGCCCAGGAGAGTAATTGGTTGTTTCCTGTCTCATCTTTCAGACTAGTGTCCAGGACATAGCTGAAAGGTAATCTATTCTCACATGACATGCTTGTGAATTTTATATATATATATATTTTTCCTTGCTCAGGAGATACCAGAGGAGTAATATCTCTTCTCTCTGTGTGTGTTTGTGTCAGGGTGGAGGAGGCAGAGGGGGTCGGGGAGCCCTGTGATACGGAGCAGCTCAACCTGAACCCGGGCTGCAGTGACAGCAAGCTGCTGAGAGGTCTGTGGGCCACTGCAGTGCTGCTCGGGCCAAACGGTTAGTAGATTTTTATTCAACTGTAAATCATCCTGGAGCTTGATGCAAACACGACAGATCCAGCGGGAGCATAAAAGGTTATTACATGCACTGGTGAAGTGATGAAAATCCAGAAAATGGGAGATTTTCAAACCAAAAGCAGGGAGTGAGGAGGAGTGCTTATTTTCTACATTCTGATCGCTTTTTGGGTTTGTGATAAGAAAAGTAATAGTAATTTTAAAAAAAAGGAGTAACTGCATCATTTTGCTTTATTTCAACCTCTTTGATCCTCTTTGAATTTTAATTTCATCATCACACATATACTGGTGCTTGCATTGGAGACACATGTGCAGATACCTTGCCTTCAGTACTGTCGTTGACAGTTGTTGACTTGTTGTAATTTGGAAATACTGTAAATTGCACATAACACACATGTATCTGGCGAGTCTAAATTTTGTCCTGATGTATTTTTGCTTTAGAGTTGGAAGCAGCAGTAGTGATACTACAGAGTAGGGCCTGGATGTCTTCGTGGTTCCGTTTTAAAAAATGAAGGGAGCTGATTTTAAAACTGATCTAAACATTGGAGAAAATTGAGAGAAATTACACCATAGAAGATTTGAAAGAGGGTGGCACAAAAATCAAGGGTCTCTCATTGAAATCTGGATGAAGGACAAGCATGATAAAAGAAGCTGGATGTCTTCATCTTGACATCTTTGTTTGTGGTGGTTTACAGTACTCAGAACATTTCATTATGGTAAAGAATTTTCAAAATGCCAGATATGATGTCTGCCTATAGTAATGCAGCAGTTTGTGACATCCTCTTCATCTTGGTCATTCTGCCCACAGCCTATGGATCGCCTTATTTAAAGTTTGACGAGCGCACTCTGAGTCCTCTGCTGTCCCTGTCTGACGACTTCTGCACTTTGACCTTCCTCTACAAAAAAGTCCGCAAGTCCCCTCCCTACGACCCAGCACGATTCGACTGTTGGCCCAACGCGCTGGGTTCACTGTCTATGTCCTCCGGCACCAACAGCTGGGTGGTGGATGTAGGCCAGAGCGGTGCCTTTAAGGTCGGGGTCTGCTATGCCTCTCTGGAACGCAAAGGCTCAGGGAATGAGGCGCGGCTGGGCTACAACACTCAGTCCTGGGTGTTGTCTCACTATGATGGGGACTACTCCTTTGTCCATGCAGGGAAGAAGGTGCCTCTGCAGGTGGTGAGGACACCCAAGAAGATCGGCCTGCTGCTGGACTGGCCGAGTCAGACACTGCTGTTTTACGAGCCAGACTCTGGTGCCGTGCTGTACTCTGTCACGCAACACTTTAGTGCCCCGCTGCTGCCGGCGTGTGCTGTGACTGACCGCAGTATCACCATACTGCACTGACAGGCAGTCCACACAGCCAAAAGCTAAATTACCTTAAACATGTGAAGAAATGCAAGGGAGAGACTTTCTCTAATGCAAATATGACCAGCAGTTAAACATCGTCCATCTGTGCAATAATGAAAACTCCAGACACAGCATCAGTTTACTCTATTTACTGTGGTAGCTGGTTCTTTTTTTTTTTACTGTTTTTAATGATCTAAAATTCATTATCTGTTGAGCATATTACACAGTAGTTGTGCTATTTTGACTGACAATGATTGTTTTTATGGAGTTTGTGTTTGTTTTAATATGATTGTTTGTATAATTAGTTTGATCTGTGTGATGAAGCTTCTCCAAGAATTGTTATAGAAAGTATTAATTACACTGGTCGATCCAGGACTATTGTAAATCTTATGTGGCAAATACTTAGTAAAACAATTATTATGAGTTGACTGTTTTATTTCAAAAGCACAATTATTTTGTAATTTTTCCCTGCAATAATACAAAAACACAAAACTGTAACTGTCATTTCAATTTCTTCTTATTTTTATATTTGGGGCAGCTTATACGCCCAACTGCTCCAGTGGGCAACAACTAGGGAGCTTGCAGATGTAAATGAGTGTGAACAGGATGTTCCTAAAAAAAACCATTTTGAGTCCATATTTGACAAAGAATCATTTTAGGAAATGAGGTCATAATATAAATTTTGGGGGAGAAACAGATTTCTACACCGCTGCTATTTCTCAGTAGTTTATGCATGAACCCACTAGAGGGCAGCAATGTCAAATGAAGCCTTGAACAGTGCTGCTCTTGAATATGCATCATGTCAGATCAGTGAAGTAATCGAGTGAAAATGTAATTCCAGGACCAATCGAAAGTTCAGGGTACTGACTACAATATGAGAAAAACTCAGCAAACCCTTAAACTGAGCACATGTGTGGTACCTGCTGAATGAATGTGCGTGTGATTTTAAATAACAAAATGACATATTTGATATCAGTAGGAGACAGAGGCTGGATATACTTCTATTTGATTTAGGCACAAATTAAAGTGACTTTGTTCCTCTCATACCAGATTAAACACGTGAGAAGAGGGTAGTAGAGGGTGAGGCAAAACTGAGGGGAAATTAAAAACTATGCAGTAGTGGCTTCACCGGCTCATAATCAGTGTTATTTTATATGCAAATAACATATTGTTTGTAGCCATTAACCATAAAGTACACTGCATCCCCTTTATAACACCTGCCTTCTTTGTATATCAGCATTTTAAACCAGTGAACTACAGCTTCGGGATGGACATGTTTAATCAAGACTTCCAGTGTAGCAATGTACAGTGGGCTTCGCAATCAGATGGGGTGTAACACTGTAATAGCCCATTTATTCTGACTCTGCTATTTCAACAGTCTATTTAGAAACCTACTGTGACGGTGATTCAGATTTGAATCTAGTATGGATTAGGCTTGGTTGCACATGTCCCAACAGCTCTCTCATTATTAACTATTTTCAGTTGAGCTGACAATAGGTGTAGTGCTGCCAGAGAACTGTTTTTTTTTCTCCAAGTGGAAATAATAGAATATTCACCCTTTGCATAATCCTGTTGAAATTCATAAACATCTTTAAAGCGCTTGAGGATCCAATCATCACCAAAGTGAAGGTCATGCAAGAGACACAAACCCATCAAAGAAATGACTAGAAATGTTACTACTAATTGTCTGCTCCAGGGTGTAATAACATAGGTGAAAATACAGGTGCAATATTAACTCTGGCAAAGGATGGTGTGCAGTGTGTGCATGTGAAAGTGAGCGTTAGACAGGAGGGCAGAGTACCATTGGGTAATAAACTTTGCGTCAATAAAGCCATGATAGGGCTCCATTGTTTTGTAAGGTTGGGTTTTGGAGCCTTAATGAATATGTAACTAGCTCCATCTGATAACGATGCCATACTTTTTGGATTCATATATTATATATGTGGGAGGGTCTGGTTGCAGCCATCTAATGGTTATACGCTTCAAGGCTACTGTATATATTTAAAATGTATTCCAACAGGATTTTACTCCTTTATTTGGCATAAAACACATCCTCGTAGGGGTTAATATTTCACATTACTACAAAGCAATAATATGAGTACAATCAAGAATTACCTTTGTGCATTGTGTCCACTCTAAGAAAATTGAAATGTTGCTTTTTTGACACTGAATGTGTTCATCATAAACTCCTGTTGACCAATGTACACGATTTGCAGACACAGTGAGTCAAATGATAACAGAAGCGGATGCATCTGCTCCTTTCCCAACTATTAGTGTTTGTACAACTGCAGGTGCACTTTATACTATTTCTCAATAATTTACAACTGTATGAAATTAGAAGATTTTTAGCCTTAAAACATAAACACATCCGCTTTCACACACAAGGAACAAGCCAAAGTGTGCCAAGTGTGAAATTTCCCCATTTCCTCAGTAGTTAATATCAAAAATTCCACTGTCACACTTGAAATATTTATGGTTCCTCCACAATTAAAAGTCTTTTGTCTGATGATTCCTGAACGAGTTGATCTTTCTCAGGTGCTCCTCTTGTTGGATGCACTGAGTATGACAGGAGGTGGTTCGATGTTGAGCTCTTGTCGGAGGTCTTCGAGGTTCTGCTCCCATCGCCTCTCGTAGAAGATGCTGAGGACACAGCGGGCCCGCCGCCCATTCTGCAGAGCCCAGGGCCCCAAAGATGTGAACAGTGACTGTAAACGGCTGAAAGATGATGAAACAAGAGCGGAAAATTTGAACATGATGCAACAGTGAAGAGGAAACTTGCCACAATTCATCTATTTTATATTTTATTTAAACATGCTACAGCCCACTTCCCTGGAAAGAGGGAAGTTCACAGTTGTGGAATGAGGAAGGATAAATGATTTGCAGGTAAAGACACAGTTTATAGGTATTTGTTCATCATAATGGGGCACTGTTGTTCAGCCTTTACGTTGGCAGCGGAGGAAGTCACAGAGCCAGATTGATGTCTGTGTAAAATGGAGAGCTGCCATGGCAGGACAGACACAGACGCTGCCAGCACTGCAACACTGCAACACTCCATCGACCTGGGCTTTATGGCAGAGTGGCCAGACTGAAGCCTCTCCTCAGTGAAAGTTTTCAGATTAGCACCAAAAGGTCTCAGTTCTACATGTCGTGTTTGGAGGAGACCAAACATGACACTTAGAATTGGTTGTTCTTAAATACGTAAATAATTTTGGATTTTGACTTGTTCAGACAAAAAAAGATGATGGAAAATGTCAGTTTGGCCTTTGGGAATTTTTTTTTTTTTAGAATAAACTGTTAATTAACTACGTGAGAAAATAAATGGAAAGTTAATTGGCTTTGAAAACAAATATTAGTTACATCCCTAGGCCAAAGCTTTGAGCTCTACTGTTTGCTGTGACTGTAGGGCAAATGTTGAGTGTGAACACAATGAGTCTATCAGACGTCCTTTAATGTGTGTTATGACACCTGGACCGTAAGGCTGCCAGCATCCTTCAGCAAAAATACTTATGTGACGGTTGAATAGTTTTGGAAACCCCCTTCCATTCACACCTGGCCAGCTGTGCGTAGGTGGGACAGGGAACAAGGATTGAACTTTTCTCTCTAACTCTCTTTATTTCCTTCCTTTATTCACCTATTTCTGTCACTTTTCATGTGAACAACAGAATGCAACACTATGAATGAATAGTGAATGAATGAATGTCTGACACTGTCTGGAAATGTGCACTGTTATCATGGTTTTTAAACTGTATTTCCCCCACAGCCCAAAACCTGTAATTAACTCCACCTCTGATCATACTGCTACATGGTCTACTTAACACCTTGGTGGTCCAAATCTACGATTCCACACTGTTGGAAACACACAGATATTGTACCTTGCATTTAGCCGAAGTGGGCCCAACACAGCTCCAAGAGCACACATGGGAAGCCCCGTCTGAGCAGCTTCAAACCATTTTACTGCCACTTCACCTGAAAGCATCAGGCAGAGATGGAGAATGAGACCAACATGCCAATTATTTAAGTAAAAGAAAGAGCAAGAAATCAGTTAACAGTGCAGTGTGTCAAAACCAACCTCTGTTGTGAAACACTACTGCGAAAGTCTTTTTTCTCTTTTAGCAAATTCATTATAACGGTGACTCAATTCACTCGTATTTCATCTTCAAAAATGTTAATTCACTCAACATTGTGAAAGAAAGGCCTTTTGAAAGCAGGAGATTTGAAGGGACTGGCAAGGTTTTGTCTGCCATGTGCACAATAATTCTTGCTGAGCCTTAGCCATTTTATCAATAAGACATTATAGAAGATCAAAATTGCTTAGCTTGGATTGGTAGTTCCTATAAACAACACAATCTGACTGTAGATGCCAAATTTCTGCAGGACCACGATGGTTTAAAATACATTCGGGGTAGTTTTTTTGGTTACACAAAGCCTGACTTACCCAGCATGTTGGTGGGCATGCCCAGTAAGGTGTGTAACAAATCATGGACCTCTCTGTATCTCTGCATGACGTAAGCTAGCTCCTCATTATCCACAAACTTCACATCTGCCCTTGAGTCAGGCGTCACGTGCTGAGAGAAAAGGCAAGTCAATACGAAAGTGAATATGAAAGAGTAATGTTAACAGTGAAAAATCTGGGTATTTAACCTAATGAAATCTGTATCGTAAAATGTGAAAGTATCACATTTTCTTTATGGGGAGTTTCACAACACATCAGCGAACACTCACATTGTCCTCCAGAAAACGGAGGTATTCTCTCCCAAAAGAGCCGTCGGGCAGTGAGGCCATCTTGCTCAGATCAAGTGTAGACAGCCGGATCCTGGGCCTCTCTCTGCAATCACCAGTCAATATCCAAGCAAAACAAAAATAAAAAAAATCATAATTCAATCACAGTAGTGAAAATGCTTTTTAAAAGTGTTTAAATCAGAATGTTAGCAAATAGGGATACAATGCCTCACGTTAGGATAGTGTAGCCTTCAGGGTCATTTCTCATCCTGTCCCTGAGATTTATCAACGCTAGGTGTCCTGTCGTCTCTCCGAGCACTGCAACCATGTCTGTTAAGTGAATAGAGAGTCCCAGAGAATTAAATGTACAATAGAGAGATTTTCCAAGATGTGACCTTTTGTTGCTGCCAAACCTTTAGCTAAATAATTGATTTCCTCAAATAACATATCGTCTTAAAGATTCTCAAACTTGTGCAGTTTGTTTGAAAGTAGAGCTTGTGATATAGCCTAAATTTAGCCACATGCTTGATCTTAAGGGGCACTCGACTATTTTTTACATGAGTCACATCAGTTTACTCATTATGGAGAGTACCCCACAGTCTGTGAAACAGCTGGTAAATGTCATCTGCGTATCTGGAGGAGACTTTTTAAGTGTGAGAAATTGTCTGAAAATGTCAAGTGTGGTGATGTCATCAGAGTTATCTTAGTTCAGATCTGGAGACCACAAATGTTTATCAGGAAGCCTGCATTAGAAACAGGGGGCCGTGGAGTTTGAATGACCTGGGTGTTTAACAGGCAGACAGGGTCTAATGAAAAAGGGATTATAATCAAATAATCCAGCATTTTATGAGATCAACCAATACTATGCACTAGGAGTCAGGAGTAGGCATTTGAAGACACCTGTGGTCTCCAAGCTGAATGTCAGATGACAGGTGTTAGTGCTCTCTTCCTCCATGAGAGTTTCAGGGTAACTGAAATATAGTATGGCCTCATTTTGTATTTATTCTCATTTCTGTTTCCAAGAGTGACATTGGTCTCGAGAGAATAAAATCAGAACATGAGAAAAAAACTTTTAGTACAGTCCCTGTTGGTATCACTTGATGATGAAGCTGATGAAACATTCTTTCAAGTTCCAGTAACTGTTGGAGGCATGCCAGGATTACAAACTTTCTGAGACACAGAAGTATCAGTTGTAGACTGGCAAACTGAGGTTTTCAGCAACATGCCAATGAAAACAAAGTGTGCCATGTGGCACACTTTGTTTTCATTCCTACTTGTCCTGTGTGTTGTTCTTAATTTAGAGCACATCTTAAAACACAATATCTGTAATGAAAATTTTCATTTTCCTGACACCTAATTTAGTCATGATGGCCTGTTGAAGTCTCAAAAAGTTGTACAGCAGTTTGGTGAACTTAGCTTGAAGGGTTCATTCTTGACTTTGGAAATAGCAGCTTGGCTAAAAATTCTCAACACAAGTTCACATACTTGGCTTTTTCAGTACTTTAAGCCACATTTTGTGGCACTTCATCAGCAAACTCCTTCTACTAAGAATGGAAAAGAAGAAAGAGAGAAAAAGAACTAGTCTGGCGCATACCTCTGCGAAACAATCCAACAAATCTGTTAAGCTATTATAATTGAATAATAAAAGGAAAAGGGAAGTGGTCTGAGACACTCATTGGCATGTCGCGACCACAACTGTAATTGTTGTAATTTTAGTGGTTGCATGTTGAATGAAATACTGATGTAAGCATTTTTGAATGTTGCTGGTGCCATGTGCACTGTTACTTTCTATTAATAAAAAGTACAACTCTTTTGTGTAATAAAGAGTCAGCATTCTCTTCCACCAAATTTGGATCTGGATCCGCACCAAATTGACCAAAATCATAGATCTCAACACCATAAATATGTCTGATTTTTTTACATCAAGATCCATACGTCCTGAGAAATTTTTAAAAAAAATACGGGAAAATGCCCTGTCGCTCAATGTTGAAAGTGATAAAAAAATTGCTGGATCCTAATCAAATTTTAATGGGTTCTTGCCTGGCCAATGCTCCATGCCTCCACCAAGTTTGGTGCAAATCGGTTTTGTACTATTCTGCTGACAGGCACAGGTGAAAACATAACCTTGTTGGCAAAGTGGATCTTGAAATAAAACTTGAATTAGTTTATATAAGTCTTACCGCTTTTAATTAAAGTGATGACCTTCATAATTTTGACTTGACTGCAACTTTTCTGTAGCAACACCATCAGGAGAGCTGTGTCCACATGCATACATAGTGACTATACATTATCTGTGACTGTGCTTTACTGCCATACTTTTCTGTCCTTAAGGAGGCTTTTTTTCCTTTTAAAGTTACTTTTTCCTTAATTTGATAGTAATACAGACAGGGAATGCAGGAAATTGGTGGGGGATGGGGTGTGACAAGCAACAAAGGTCCTTAGCCAGAGTTGCCCCATGGCATTTTTTTGTAAAAAGGAAGGAAGGGATGTTGGGGAAAAAAGAAAGACAAACAATAACAGAGAATGAAGCCCAGACATCATGCTAGTGATGTGAGTGTCTCACCATGTCTGTAGGGGTCCCGCAGTGCAGCCACACCTGACCCAACGGCCAACAGGGCTCTCTGGATAGGGGTGGTGGGGATGTGTCCGGGATACAACCCATTATAGCAGGTGTCTGTAAATTCACTGCTGCTACTGTGCAGCTGCTGGACACGCACTGCTGAGGCACAGGTGGAGCAACATTAGAGAGATTTACGCTCCTGGACCGAGACAGTGTCATAATGCATAACAACATTTAAACTATCTGATGATACAGGCTGTAGAGTACAAATGTGTATGCTTATGTTTTACAGAAAGAGGTCACAATGAATATTGACACTTAACGTGTGTATGGTATTCGGGCTGATACCTGTATATGATATTTTATCGCAAAAATTTGAAATTAATTAGTTAATTTGTAATTCTCCTTAGTTATTGTTTACACACCCAGATAAGTTCATTCATACAAAATAATATAACGCTAACTCATTTCAACACAGTGCTCTGAGCTAACTAATAACATAGCTAAAGAGTGTGCCGTGGAGCCAGTTCAAGCTTTCTCTAGTATGTTATGCTAGCAGCTAGGTTTGAAATTCGTTTCTTTTAAATTCGAACAGCTAAGACATCTTGGTTTATAAAAAAATGCATATTATTGTTTTTGTCAAATAACGCAGACTAAACATATGGAAACTCGTACCTTTGGAGATCAAAACGCATTGTTGCTGATTTAACCATTGCAAAGGCTTACGAATCCACGGCCACATTGTGAACGCTACTGCGCATGCGCTTTGGAACGGTGTACTACTTTTCGACTCCGGGGCAGCACTGATATAGGGGCGGGGTTGGCTAGTTTTTTCTGAAAGTTATGTTTAGTTGCAAGACAAAGTGACTCCGTTCTTCCCAGCTGCCTTGCTTTTACGAAGTAAGCGCATGCAGCAAAAATTGTCAACAGCTCACCAAAGGTTGAGTTGCCCTTCTCATGCCGTAACGGACAGACAGTTTCGTTTTCTTTCTGTCGACAGAGGCGCAATCCAGACGGCAAGGTTAGTTAGCTGAGGCGATGTTTTTTCTTCTCAAATAAATAGGTTAGCAGTTAGCTGACTGGGTAATTAAACTCGCTAAACCCATAACTTGACTGTAACTACAGTCAAGCACTGCCTAACTTAGCATTAACCTAGCTGCATAAAAGTTACGTTGCTACTCATACACATAAGTAAATAAAGTGTAAGTTAAATACGTTGATATGTTACGTCATTGCTCCCTTTGAACCAATAATATAGACGCTAAAAGAAGTAAATCTGACAATTGAAGAAGTTATTCAGTACCAAGCAGACACAAGTTAACGACTAAGATGCTGTCAGAGTTCTGAGTCAGACTGAACGAGGCTTTTATAGACTTAGATGCTCACGTGTTAGGGAGGACACTACATATACTACGTTGAGGTGGTGGACTATTATAAAACGAACAGGCACTGTTTGGGAGCTCGGTGAGTAAAGCTTCAGGTTTGGATTCACGACACTGCCGCAGATAGTCTAGAGACCCTTGGCATGAGTAAAAGACGAATATTGAGCAAGAACATGGCGGAGTGACAGAACAAACATACAGGGAGCAGGAGGGTGTTTTCACACAGTAGTCGAACTAGTTGTCGGGGACATCTTTTTGAGACATTGAAAGAAATGGCTAGGCAGACTGAAGGGAAAGCTTGATCGCACTTTATTTTTCAGGGCATTGTTTTGAAAAGCAGTTATTGGTGGTATTTCTTTCACAAACGGGATTGTAAACTTTTCACAACTGTAGCTTACAGTCCAGATGACAGTGTGGATACAGTTCAGACAGCAATTAAGCTAGTATTTTCTGTTTAGGTCGTTTATGACAGCTCAGTTTTCAGAGTGTTTCGCTGTTTGTGCTTACTGTGTGGTTTGCTTGTTTCCATGTCACTTCAGTTCTTGTTTTAAAGGTTCTGGTCTGTTTATTAATTTTTTCAGGAAAGTGGAGTGGTGTTGTATGGCTAAGATAATATGTTTTCTACATGCGATTGCCTGATTTAATGCTTATTTTCACTGCATTTGTTGTTGCCACCCTCTCAATGTTTCTATGGATACAAACTAAACAACAGCTTGGGTGTATTTTGTTACTAATTAGGGCCTAGCTCATTTCTCACAGCAGAGCTCATGTCAACAGCATTATGAATAATTCGACTTGTTAACCATGTTCTTTATGAACAAGTTGGACGGGTTTGAACAAATGAAACTTGTGAACTGAATCATAGCAGTTAACAATTAGTCATCATGAAATTTGAATGTATTCATCTGTCAGATACATAGTCAGATAATTATACCTGGAAAAGAGTTTCCAAAGTAAAGAAGCAATGGGCTTTTCTTAGATGTGAAATGTTAAACATTTCCCACCTTGGCTGGTGTTCTTCTTGAAACTGATAAGTAATCCAGAGAGGAACAAGACAGCTGAATAATTTCTAACCATTAGTCTAGAAAATTCAATGTAAATGAACCAGTGTTGCTGTTTCACTTCCCATGTAGTGGGACTGAAATTTAAAATGTGGCAAATGTTCATTTAAAGTAATATTGATATACTAAAAATAAGGAATGTTCATTAAAAACATGAAAAAAACATTATAATGAAAAGAAACATTATATTGTTTGTAGCTTGAATGGTTACAATTATGATGACTTATGATGCATGACTGGTCATATGTTCACTTGACTCATTATGTCTATGTCTCATGATAAGCGTTTGTTAAGTTCTCTTGCTATTTGTCTTTTGAACATGAGATTTTCTTCTGTAAGATCAGTATGTCAGTGTGATGTAAAAGTTGGCTGCTGTGTTTTGGTTTCAGAATGCTAGTGAAATCATTCATGGTGCACAGTAACCTTTTAATGTTCCTAGTTCACATATATTTTCTTTATCTCACTTCCCAACACACAAGTTTCAGGAGATTTTCCTATTTGAACAAAAATAGGATTTGGATATTTCCTACTTGTATGCCACGTCAACAAAAAAGTTCATCAAACTCATGACCAGCAAAAGCACAATGAGTAAGCCTGTCTCAGCCTTATCCCAAACTGTTTAAAGTTTGTTTGGCTGTCTTTTCAAAGAGGCACAACATTTCCATTGATTTTCCCCAGTTAGTTTGCGCATTGTTTGTAACCAAAATATGGTATTTAACTCTGCTAGTGTAAACAGGTAGTCTTGCTGCTCTGCAAAAGTCTGGCATTTTGAGTGAGACTGAATTTTAATTTATGGGTGAATTGTTCTTTTTTTAAACATGATTTGACTGAAGCAAATGAATAGGTGCAGACACTGTTCAAATTGTCCTTTGTATAGCGCAGTTCAAATCATATAAACTACAAATTATGATGCAACCTTTGGCCTCCTGCTAGAAGTATTTCAAAGGTTATACTCTCATGTCCGGACACGTAAAACTGCAATCAAATTTGGAAAGACACGCACATGAACTGCTTGTTGCATAAGTATAGTTTACGATGTGAAACAGAAAAGTTTGGTGGGTATGTGGGAATATGTTGGTATATGATGACATCTGCTGGTTTATGGTGAAAAAAAACTTTTTTTCCCCCAAAAAGTTATTGTTCAATAATAAATCATGCATTACTAATAGAATAAATATTCATATAGCAGACACCCTCACAAAAGAAAGTACTTTTTGTGAAGGTGTAAAAGTGTTTGCAGATTTCTTACACAAAAATTATTTTTTGGACAATTATCACAATGACTAACTATGATATTGCATTTTACCGACACCACTGCAGGAATTTCGTTTCAGTCCCTACACTGTAATACAGCATACAAAGATTTTGTGAAATCAAGTAATGTTTTGTTATAAACTTAACTTAAAAATTTCAGTTTTTATTTTGAGACTAAAATCCCTTTTTCTGACTTCAAGTCATTAAAGTTTCTAAAGAATCATTATCAACATATTAGCAGAATTCCCAGCATACATTGTTGTACTCATTATTCAATCTATGGACAGCTTAAAATCATTCCCAGTATGGCAACAATACTTCCAGCTTAATCAAATGAGCACTACTGGCATTGTTTGTGAGTAGGAAATAGACAGCTAATGAGATGACGCACTCTTGCCTCCCCATTTGTTTTTGTTATAGCCATTGATGAAAAGATAAAGATAAAGCTAAGTAGGAGTAAACAGTATCATCAGCCAAGCAAGATTTAATCAGTGAAGAAAACTGACAGCGGTGGAAAGTTGCCACCACTTTTTACTTTGCTTTGACTTTTATGCTGACTGGTGTGGTCTGTAGAATTTTTGCACCATTCATGCAACTTTCAGTCACTTTCTGCCCATGAAGGTCAGTATAACAATGCTTTTCTTCCTCTAGAGCCCTTGGCACTACCTCGTTTAAATCGAAGAAAAGCCTGCAGGGTCTCGGAACCTTATTTAAACTGCACAAATTACCTGGTGGTACACCTGTTATTTATTAGTGACTGCTCACTGCCTTCACTTTGCCGCAGTGTAATTCATGATACTTCCACTAAATGGCACTAAATGGAGGAATATTAAAATCATAAACATGGTGGCTTCATATTGTTGCATTTTAAAGTTTGCTTCATGTAAGCACAGTTATTATATAAAGAAACAACTTTTATCCATTGTGGATTATGTTATATGAGTGGGCAGAGCATATAATACCCACTAGATGGTAGCACAAGCACGATTATTAGCCTCGGTACTCATTAATAAATTCCAACTTTTGAGCACTAAATACCACGTGGTAAACCTATTTCAAACTTCAGTGCGTGCAAATGGAGCATATAGATAAAACAATGACATTTGATGTCACATAGTTTGATACCTTTGTTCTAGAGCAATGTTTGGAAGATTGAACGTTTTTAAAATGTCTGTCATTACCCGAAAAAAAAAAAAAAAAACGCACAGACAGGCTGAACACATGATGGTGCTATAACCCACAACTTTATGTTTTGACCTGCATCTCCTGAATTGGAACAGAGGGCAGCCATGATGATCTGTTGTATCCATAGTTTATTTATTTGCGAGTTTTAGAGTTGTCTGTTGTTCGGACTAGGCTTTCGACTCTTAGCCAAATTAACATCCGATTTTGACCAACAACGTTCAACCTTTTCTCTATGGTGAAACTTTGGAAGTGTGCATTAGTTTATAGAACAGAAAATATGTCTGAAAAATGTTGAAATGCAGTAAGTGTTAAGTAAGTTCACACTATTTGATGACTACCTCTTCCTTTTTCTGTGAATTAACACGTATATTAGCGAAGCTCTTGTAGCGTCAGTGAGTCATGTTACATTCACATTCCAGAGAAACTTATCAGATAAATCTGTCACCAGCATGTCTGCTCTCAGGCAGATCAGTATCTCTCCCATAGATAGCTTTCCCTGTAAGACTTCATGATGTGAGATACCCCAAAAGAATTTACGTGTGTCTTCGCATAGACTTTGCAGATAAGGCGAGCCATTTCATCATGGTGTGCATGTTAGCATGTCTTTCACAGCAAAGACATGCTTACATTAAATTGGCCACGGATGAAGCTGTGATTACAGTTTGGCCAATAACTTTATAGAACAAAATATATTCCTCGCATTATGTCACAGCGAAATTTAGTGGCACACAGGTTCCACTGTAGCCTCAAGGGTTGTACACCGTTTATTTAAATTTTTTGCATTATGACCATTGCATATGGAGTTGAGAGGAAAAGCTCTTTAGAGAGTGATCCACACTGCCCAGAAAATCATTGGCTCCCCACTGCCTTTACTCCAAATTTCGTTGTACTATTGTGAAATGACAATGAAGGCATTCTATTCTACTCTTTTCTATTCTACATTATTATAACAGGCCTACATCATTTGGCTGTGACATATAAAACGTGTTTGAGGCTATAGCTGCCAAACCTCACACTTTTAAGAAGGTCTTTCACAGTGATGAATCAGCCTCATATTTTCACTGTATAATGATCAGTTTAAAGGTGCTGTTCATATTCAGTATATCTGCTGAATTCCCCGTGTGCTGACACATCCAACAGGTATAATTCTACCATACCAATAATTATTTACCAGTTATGTAATTAACTGGTGTATTACTACCCGTTTGAAGCGTTCATTAAGTATTTACTGGTATAGTCAGGGAAAACACAAAACATTGTGGTTGATGTTCTGTCTGTTTCTGCTGCACATGTTATTGTTTGGCTGTTGACAGCTGTTGACGTGTGTTATTCATTCATAGGATATAGCACCAGATTGATGGAGAAGAATGGCCCGAATCTCGTTGGACTGTCCCAGCTCTTTACCAGGGATCCCCCTCAGTGTGCTGTCAGTGCCCATGGAGAATAAATACAAATGTCAGCAGTGTCTCCAGGTCCTGAGGAGGCCTGTCCAGGCTCAGTGCGGCCACCGCTTCTGTGTGCACTGCTTCAAGCAACTCACCAGGTAGACTGGAGGTCGTCAGACCACCTACAACCGTGTGAAATGCAAACCCCCTCCACACCCTAATGCTTACCTTCTTACTGGACATGCTTCAGCACATCCTGTGTTCTTACCTCTGCTCGCCTCTGGGGATTTGTTTGCACCCAAGATCAGTTACTTTTTGCAGCCTCATCCCTCACATGACTGGACTCTAATACTGATATCACTGATCACAAGGATCTGGCTTAGGATGCTGACTCATTCTCAAGGTCTCCATTGTTTTTTCCTATCGCTGACTTACTGTTTGTTCATTAATGGACTCATGCATTTTGAATTTATTAAGAATACATTGGTTTGTCACTTTGCGTCTAATGATACTTTGACAGTATCATTAGACATAAGGTGAAAAAAAAATGTTGAACTTCACTGAAAATTGATAATAATAGCTATACACAAAAACCATATAAAACATAATATATTAAACTAAACTTAAAAAAAAAAAAAAAGGAACCAGCGTCTCATTTTGCTAATCTTCCAACATTCACACTTCAGCAAAAAGCATTTGTGAAATTTGTCTAAAAAGTCTAAAAACAAGCTGTGCATGTGTCATTTTGGGTGTGCATTGCTAGCTGAAATTGATGTTTTGAAAGGTGATTTCACGTGAATTTTTATGTGAATTCATTTGGCTATAATGATAATTTCACATGTGCTTTTTGTTTGGGTTTTATTTGTGTGTTTGTGTGTGTGAGTAATAGTCATTTATTTGTCCTCAACCTCAACCCTTCAATAGCTAATACATTTTTCTCATGAATATCCCACACTTTATCAAGCAAATTACTGCATTTGTATAGCTCTACAGGCTTCTGTCGCTGCTCTTGCATTAATTAATCATTCATCTACTTGAGCTGTGATCCATTTTGGTCAGCAGTTGTTCCAGTCATGGATCAGCAAGAAATTGTTGCTGACTGTTAGTGCCAATCAGCTGATTTTCACTATATAGTCACAAACCTGTTTTGTTTGTTAGCTCTGGCCCAAAGCCTTGTGAAGCCTGCCGCCAAGAGGAAATATATGAGGAGCCTATTTCCATTCTGAATAGTAATGAGGTAAGATATGAAATATTCAGTTTTCAACCAACATTGTTCTTTCATGAGACATTTTCCTTGTAATCAGTTTCCCTTCCCTCACTCCCACTATGGTTTAAAGGAAAATCAGACTGTTGTTTGATGGGCAGTCTGATGGGGATTTCCTACACCACAACCACACACAATGCAACCCACTGTCTGTTTGCTCTTGGCTTTATGATTCACTGAACTCTTTGTTCTTTTCTCTTTTACTAGGCATTTCCAGACAATGCAGCAGGTCGAGAAATTGCAAGTCTGCCAGCCAGGTGTTTGAACCAGGGCTGCGATTGGACAGGCTCAATAAAAGAGTATGAGGTAAAGTATAATGTTCTACTTTTTGGAAATGTGAATGGTTTCTATTTGACTGTTTGTCTCTACCTGTCCCATATTGAACCTTGTACAAGAGTCAGTTTACTCCTTTACCACACCCAAACCAGTCCTGTCAGTACTTTTTAATCTTTCTGTTCTGTCACATTTTGTACGTTCCTGGGTAATGTGTTTATTCCCCTTGAGGCCTTAGTTCACATCATGGTTGAACAATGTGGCTGTATTTCATGCACTGCGGCTATTGCTGCAGAGAACAGGAAGTGAAACTAACATGCAAGCTGGAAAGTCCCTGTCGTCTCTAGCTTACTTATCAACAACAGCTCAGTTGGAAAGTACCAGGATATGACAGGCAGCTTAACCATCAACCCGCCTGACCCTATTTGACTGCTGATGGCGTTTCAGTTAGCTGACCATTACTTGATAATGAAAGTGCTGGATTTATACTGGCTGTAAAACCCAGAACAGAAACAGGCATTAAAACCATATACTTCAGACAGACTAGGGTTTGTTCAAATACAGGAAAGCCCCATCATAACCACATTAGCTGGTTGTGTTCTGGTTTGCATGTGTCATCTGTCTGCAGTTTTGTTTCTGCTGTAGATATTTCAGTGTTTGGTGAGTTTGTCAGTGTGTTTGTTTAAGAGGTGGCTTCCTGGTGCTAATTCCATGTATAGGATGTTTATAGTGGTTGTTGTTTGTTTGTGGTTTTAATTAACCATACCCTATGAGCGTCTCTAAATGAGATTCTAGATAGGAAACGTTAAAATAAGGTGATGGAAGGAAATGTGTTTAAAATGAAAACACTAGACTGACACTGGAAATTATTTTGCGTGCTTTGCAAATGTGGCTCTGACCGGGTAGCTTGCCAATGAACCTTACTATTCTTTATTTATGACACACGTGCTTGCTGTCTTTGACCATGGTATAAAAGTGTGCTATAGTTTGCAGTGCTGGAGAAATTACTGCTGTTGTGTGATACACCCATGTTTGTATGAATATTTGTGGATGGCTGTCTTAGTCACTGTTAGTTAGCCATACACACCCAAAACTAGGTCTCACGAAGCTGGAAAAATAGAGTAAACGTGGTTTCTGAGTGGCTTAGTGAGGAGAGGGATCTAACTGAAACGCTGTTAGAGATTAATCATATTTAGTATGGTGATTCGGTTCAAGGTTTGTCTGTGTAGCATGTTCGAAAGTGAGCAGTCAAAGCGAAAAACAGGCTAACCTACCTGTGGCTCTTGTTCTGTGGCTTCAGAGTGCTGTTGGTAGTCATTATGAAAGCAACTACTTCCTCGGTTAACAGACTCCACCTCACAGTCGAGCTCCACCCCTTTTGTTTCCCGGTATTTTTCAAAAAGAATATTGTGCAGCATTTTTAAAAATAACATTATCAAACTTATAGCTTAAATCAAAAACAGCCTTTTCCCCCCCTAATTTATTGCTGTACTTCTACTTTTTATTTCTATGCTTCTGTTTCTTTTGTACTTTTATTTCCTCATCTTCCAATGACTTCCTAGTTTTGTTTTTTGGTTTCTTTTTCGTTTATTTTAAGGTCAAGTGTTTGAAAACGATCTCTTTTTTTCCCTCTCTTCTTTTGTATATTACTTGTGTTTTAACAATCATATAGTACAAATAATTAAATACTAAGTCCTGGAATATTTCTAATTCGGTTACAGGAAAAGAACGTAGTAATAATAATAATAATAATAATAATAATAATATATACCTTCAATGCTATTGTATTGCAGGCACACAATTAAGGAATCATAATTACTGAATAGCATACATAATTAAATGAATGTACTGTGTTGTTACCGCTGACCTTCCTTTATGCACTGGAGATAAATGGTTGCGAAAAAAAGAAACAGCTTGTTTCCCACTTTACTGCAGCCAGTGCAACCAGACCTGCTTATATATGAGGGTGTGTCAGTTTGTGTTTCATCTTCATTAAGGACTGACAAAAGATTAGCAGGTTCTACCATGCCATCAAATTATATCACACAAATGACTTGGAACACTATAACGTTCAACTGAATTCTTTGATAATATTAATGAAAGGTAATAAATAGGCACATCTGGGCTGCATGAGAAACACAAACTTTAGTTATGTGGTGGTGACAATAGATCTGTCCCATGTATAGGCTCAGCATGAAGGTCGCTGTGAGTTTGAGCGGATACAGTGCGACGCCTGCCAAACCTTGATCCTTCGTACAGAGAAGGATCGACATAATGAGAGAGAATGTGAGGCAAGAACGCTCAACTGCAAATACTGCAAAATGACCTTCAACTTTAAAGACATCAAGGTGAGAGATAGAGATTATCTAGAGTAAAGCAGCTGCCTGATGTGTTTCCACGAATGGACACAAAATAACATTCCCTTTCATGGTGTATTTTAGGCCCACGATGAAATCTGCCTGAAGTTTCCCTTACAATGCAAGGACTGTGGCAAGAAGAAGATCCCAAGAGAAAAGGTCAGAGCAATTACCCAAATTACCCTTTAACTTTCCATATAAATTTGTATATGAGGCATTTGGTGTGGTAATGCTTGACAATTTCCTCTCTGAACAAATGCTATTAAATGTTTTCACTCTGTAATAAAATAAAACTATAAACAAACTATCAAATTACTACATTTATAGCCTAAACAAACGCTGAACACCTGGGCCTTATATACTCTGCTATAAAAAAATACATGGAATTATATGAAACACAAGCAATAGTACCCAAGTTACAACAAATGTGCCAATAAGTTAGATAAAATCCCAGGAAAGCCGATTGCATACCTGTGAGTTCCACATACTGATCACCTGAACATTTAAAGTCTCCTTTCTAATTAAAGGTTTGGAAAATGAATTCAGAATTCCCTTTATGGCCACTTAGTTTTCTTTCAGACTAAGAATCCTGTGCATGACTTTCAGTTTGAGTTGATGTATTGTTTGGAGCTGGTCCACTAACATTTCCTTTGTCCATTCTACCTTTCAGTTCAATGATCACAGCAGAACCTGTGCCAAGTCAAAGAGCGCCTGTCCATTCAGTGAAGTGGGCTGCAAATCTGTGGTATGTGTGGTAATCGACTCAAATATAATGCTTTCATTGTGTTATTTTTCTTTTATTTAAACAAGTTAGGTGTTCACATAAATACAGTGTTGTAAGATGCCTTTTTTTATATATTAAAGGAATAATTCAACATTTTAAGAAATTTTGAAAAAAAAATGTTTATTTGAGAAATAGTAATTTGCAATTTTTCACAATTAATTTAAAGCATGATATAGACTAAATGACTAATCAATTAATGCAGAAAAGATAAGATATAACAAGTTGATTGGTGAGCTTTAGAGATGTTTCCTTCTGCTTCCAGTCTTTTTGCAAAATTAAGCTAAATGCCCTCATGCATTGGCTGTATTCACATACAGATATGAAAGTGTATTGATCCTCTGGTCTAACTCTCAACAAGAAAGCAATAAGCATATTTCCTTTTACAGTCTGCACTAAAATAATTCACTTAAGATGGGGGTAAAACATCTTTGCAGTGGACGCCAACTGGCTAGTATTATTGAACAATTTATCTAATCATAAATGTATCAGTAGCAGCGTATATGTATAAAATACCAAGAAATTGCTGTTGCAATTGTCACGCATTTGTGTACATATGTTTCACAACTGAGATATGAACAAACACAACATCATAGTCTATGATAAGATTTCTGTCTGGGCTGTTGTGGTTTGAAGTCGGTGGGACTCAATTTGAAAAATGCGATGTCACTGTGACATTGCAAGTGCACTGTCAAAACACACCCACACAATTTTAAACTCTGATAATAAAATATTACCTGAGGATGTTTAGTCCTAAATATTTAATGTCATAGAGCTTTGAAACCAGACTTTCAGGAAATCTTAAACAGATTAGTTTTTAATGTAAACACATAACAATCGGTTGATATTTCATAAAAAATTTACCAATGTTTACCCAAAAAATGAATGAATAAAAATAAGTAACTAAATTTAATAAATAATAAATATTCCATCTGCTAAATAACAAAAACAATTTTTGACCAGTTTCCCAAGTTGTGACTTTGTAGCAGCTAAATAAGCTTTGTTGTGTTTCTCAGATAGAGAACGGGAAGCTCAGTGACCATGAGCACAGCAGCACCATGGAGCACTTGCGTCTGCTGCTGCCCATGGTGATGTCAGTGGCTCGGGCACGTACAGAGGCTCCTGGTCCCGGGGAGTGGCAGGAGGACTCTGGTCTGAGCCTGTACAGGGCTCCTGAGGAGGGAGACGTTATGGGCGCTGGAGCTGCAGCCTCCGCACAGTCTGTGGATCTGGAAAAAAAGGTGAGTCTGGAATTAATGGAATTAATGCTATTTGTTAACCACTGTTCATGGGTATTGAATGAGGAATGACGAATTTGTTGCTGTTTCTCAACAGGTGAACGCTTTAGAAAACATCGTGTGTGTCCTGAATCGGGAAGTGGAGCGCAGTTCAGTAACATTGGAGGCTTTCTCACATCAACATCGTTTAGACCAAGAAAAGATTGAAAATCTGTCCAACAAAGTACGACAGCTAGAGAGAACGCTGACTATGAGAGACTTGCAGCTGTCTGAGACCGAACAGCTGCTGCAAGAACTCCAGTTCTGCACTTACGATGGAATATTTGTCTGGAAGATTACTGAATTCTCTCGCCGCAGACAGGATGCTGTGGCTGGTCGAACACCTGCAATGTTCTCACCTGGTAAGATGAAAGAAAATAACCCGACACCACCGGGCATCCATTTCAAAGGTCTACTTTACATGTGGCATATTTTATCTCGGAGCTTCAAGATTATTTTTGAATTTGATTGTGTTAAGTTCACATTGTTTGCATGACCTTTACTCTTGGCTTTTAGGCAAGGGGAATTCCACTGATCTACGCCCTTTTTGTCCTTTAGGGAGTGTTAGGGAGTGTTCATGTCACTCCTATTCTAATATGACATAGTTTTTAAGGCTCTGATTACATTCTGGATTCTTCCTTTTCTTCCTTTCCAAAGCATTTTACTCCAGCAAATATGGCTACAAAATGTGTCTGAGGCTGTATTTGAACGGTGATGGAACCGGTCGAGGAACACACCTTTCACTGTTCTTTGTTGTCATGAGGGGCAAGTATGACGCTCTGCTCAAATGGCCATTCAGTCAGAAGGTAGGAGAAAGTGTAACTTTCCACTCATTTTGATCCATAGTCACTAGAACAAATGACACAGATTAATAAAGTCCTTCTCCTCCTCTTTCCCCAGGTGACTCTAATGCTTTTGGATCAGAACAACAGGGAGCACATTATCGATGCTTTCCGCCCTGATGTCACCTCCACCTCCTTCCAACGGCCAATCAGTGAGATGAACATCGCCAGTGGCTGCCCGCTGTTCTGTCCACTGGCTAAACTGGCTGGCAAGAGCCCCTATCTGAGAGATGACACAATCTTCATTAAAGCCATTGTAGACCTCACCGGCTTATAAAGTGCACTGTGGAAGATGCACATAACAAAAAATAAAAATTAAACAATGAAATTAAACTAAATGATTAATAATTATAATATATATGAATGAAAATATTTTGATAATAATATGTATTATAATATATTATATTGTATTATATTATATTATATTATATTATATTATATATGTGACCATATTACAAAATATCGTGTACACACTATACATTAATACATACATCTGTTAGTATTTTGATATAGAGCTGTCAGCAGGCTTTAAGAAGACGTGCTTAAAACAGTAAGACCTCTGGGTTCCAGTAACATTAAGAGCTGCTGAGTCGAATAGTTATGATCTTTCATGATATAAGAGGTCTCCAATCATCTGTGTACTGTGATCCTAATGTGACTCTTGGCATTTGAATGAAATATTATATCTCATTACTAAATCTTAAAAAAAAAATCTTTACTAAGTATATGTGTGTATATATATATATATATATATATATATATGTGCGTGTTACAATAGCCAAGACTTCGCTTTGCATCATGTTAAACTTAACCTCTGTCAAACAATACAAATGTGATGTATCTTACCAGGAATTCTTCCTTACATCAGAGCAAAGCAAATAGTGACCTGTCTCCTTTCAATGAAACAAAGGATTTCAAACACAATTTAAATTCCATGACTTTAGCCTGTTTGACCTAAGCAGATCTGTTCCTTAGATTAAGCAGGCCACTGTTTCTCATGTCTGGATAATGTATCAGTCAATTGTCATCTCTAGTTTCCTAGTGCAGCACTTAACATACTTATATGAGTCATTTTTTTTGCCAAATGAGTAGCTGCTGTAACCCTATAGCAAACTTACACAGTCAAGCCTAAAGCAAACAGCTTTATACCTCAGATGTATTATAAGAAATAAACAAAAGAATTTAGGCAAAATTGCCTAGCAAGTGTGATCTATAACAAATAATAGAAAAATTGTCAAAAAAAAAAAAAAAAAAAAAGCTTACTGTTTAGCCCAAATTTCTGCTTAAGATGTACTAGTAACCAGAAATGTACACTATAACACACACACATATATATATCTATCCTTTGTACTAATAATGCTTTGGTGTATTGGTGTATTATATGTACATGTATAACATTTATTATTAATCAATCTACTATTGTGTGACATGTGATAACAAATTTTAACCAAAAAATGAACACTAGAAATTATATTCTTTACCATAGATTATACTGTATATCAAAATAAAATTGGTTAGGCACTTTGATTTATACATGTTCTTACATATTTTTTTTTATTTACTAACATAAAGAATGCTTACCTGCAACATTAAAATTGTCTTTACTGATTGTTGATATACATCTTAATTTGAAGGGTTCTGTCAACTGTCTTTTATACATCTTAATCCGAATAAACTTCACAAACTTCATACTTGTTGCTTTTGTCTAAATGTAAATATACAGTATATACGAATTGTTTTTAATTCAGCATGTTGTGCCATGTTCACTGCTATTTCACTGCTATTTTGTCCATTATGAAGGAATATATATACATCAGTTCCTATGTTTGCATACAGTGGTTGCATGTTTTCAGCTCCACATGTGCTTCTGGTGAGAATTTCCAGACTATTGCTCGAGCCAGACAGAGTGCGCAAATCTTAGTTTTCCCCCACCTGCTAAATTCCACTTTAACCTCTATGGTTAGGTCAAAAATATTCTGACAACCCAAGTCCCCTTTTATTGCAGTTAACCATGCTGATGATTTTCCCCTGTGGGACACCGTAGGCGATTTATGTGGTTCTATGCCAAGAGATATTTGAGGTGGTTTCTGCTATGCCTGCATCAACTCAAAACTGTCACCTCCTTTGCAGCATGGTGCTGAAGGAAATAACCACACACCAACCATGTCACCAAAAAAAAAAAAAAAATAGGTTGGGCGGTTTGTTAACCCACTTACTGGTGTATTTAGTGTTTGCTGTTACACTGTTGACATGAATGTGGGCATGATGTGCTGTTTCTTTCCTTCACGTTGTAAGAGCATGTGCTGGCTGAAGTAATTTGCCCCAAAACAAGGGAATTTTACATATAAAGGTCAGTTTAGTTATGTGTTGAACTACACAGCCGGTGAAGTCACACTTTACAGTTGTGTAATGTCTGTGGCTCGTTTTGTCTAGTCTGAGAAAACAGTATCTTGTCTTGGGAGACCACGAACTTGAAAAGGCTGCCTTGTAATCTGGGGCTTGGATTTTAAAGACATGTACATTTACAGTACCAAAATGTGTGTGTGTGTGTGTGTGTGTGTGTGTGTGTGTGTGTGTGTGTGTGTATATGTGTGTGGGGGGGTAAATCTTTGGAAGTGCAGTACTAAGTTGCCAGAGTAAGGTTCAGGTGCATATAAGACATCACAAGATAGAAGAACTCGATGAAGTATGAAGAATGCTGCATGAAGGCTGATACAAAGCGGTACTGGTGTAAAAACAAAAAAAATTACTAACTTTAAGTTTATCAGCCTTCCTTACAAGCTCCAAGTTCACAGCTTTGCATATGAAGATCAGTAGCTGCATGTTGGATTAAAACCTCCTTCAATCAGACTTCATGCACACAGCAAGATATTGAGTTCAAGGTTCAGGTCAACCATCAACTATACATGTACTATTGGGTAAATGCAAAGCCGTTGTCATTGTCACAACACCAAGCTTGGGAAATGTGATACTTTAATATGTTTATATGTCAATAAAGGATCAGTTCACCAGTATCGCAAGTATAACACTAGCAGCTCTTTGAGGCTCAATCACGGCAATTATTTGATTGATTTTTGTGAAATTTAGTACACATAGTCATACTCCTGCAAGCATGAATGGTAATAAATTTGGTGATTATCAGTTTAAAATTTTAATTTGTTGAATTTGATTTAAACCAAATTCTTACAAAACATTCCCATTTGTACCATAGAGCTAATTAGCAAATTTTAACATGCTAACATGCAACACTGAGATGGGGAACATGGTAACTATTATATCTGCTTAATATAAGCATGTCAACCTTGTGACTGTGAGCATGTTAATGCCAGCATTTACAGCCTCACAGATCTGTTAGCATGGCTATGGACTTAGTTGTTTAAATTGAATTTTATTTGCGTCCATTGCCGCCAACCGTCGAGACTTCTCAGCTTCAAGTTCATTTTGCAGGATGACAGCATCACCAAATTCTTGACGAGTATTTTTCAAGTAAATGAAACCTCAGCTTTCTGATCAAAACCTCAATGACTCAATATGGAGTTGCTTCACTGAAGTTCTGCTGTTACTGCATTCTGAACAGATAGGTCATTCTCACTGCATGTTAACCACAAACACATCCTTCATGAGCTTATGATCTAGCGAACCTAAACCCTATCATCATGACATGGTTAAAGTTTTTATCCATAATTACACTGTGACGTTTTTTATGCATTACCATACTATGAAATGTTTTTATGCGTAATTTCACTATGGCCTTTTTTGACAATTGTATGCTTTACTATACTATAGCGTTTTCATTCCTTACTATACTATAACGTTTTTATGCCATATTATACTATTATGTTTTTATGCTTAAATAAACTATGACGTTTTTTGGCGTTTTTATTATGCCTGACTATAGTATGACGTTTATTGCATTTTTTATCCCTTACTATTCTATGATGTTTTTTTAAGTTTTTATGCCTTACATACCGTTTTTTGCAGTTTTTTTGCTTCACTATACAATGATGTTTTTTGACATTTCTATGCCTTACTATGCTATGTTTTTATATGCCTTACTATACTATGACATTTTATGAAAATTTTAAGCCTTACTATAGTATGGTGTTTGTTGACGTTTTTATGCCTTACTATTCTATGACATTTTTATGCCATACTTTATTAGGACGTTTTTTTGACATTTTTATTCCTGACTATACTATGATGTTTTTATGCTCAAATAAACAATGTAGTTTTTTGGTGTTTTTATGCCTTACTATACTATGACATTTTTTTACATCTTTATGCCTTCCTATACTATGGCGTTTTCTGAGATTTTATGCCATACTATATTATGGCGTTTTTTGACAGTTTTATGCCATACTACACTACGACGTTTTTAGACAATTTTATGCCATACTATACTATGAAATTTTTCAGCGTTTTATGCCATACTATGCTATGAGGTTTTTTGACATTTTATGTCATACTATACTATGTTGTTTTTTAACGTTTTTGCCAAACTATACTATGTTGTTTTTTGATGTTTTATGCCTTACTGTACTATGTTGTTTTTGACGTTTTATGCCTTACTATACTATGTTGTTTTTTGACTTTTTATGCCATACTATACTGTGACGTTTTTAGGCAGTTTTATGCCTTATTACACTATGACGTTTTTTTTTACATTTTTATGCCATATTTCACTATGATGTTTTTATACCTTAGTATTATATAATGTTTTTTCCATTTTCATGCCTTATTGTACTTTGATGTTTTTTGATGTTTTTATGCCTTTCTATACTATGACGTGTTTTGCCTTGATATAATTTTTTTCAGCACCTTACTAAACTTTTATGTTTTTATGGGTGATTATAATATGCAGCTTTAATTAGGCAACAGAGTAGTGCAAATTAAAGCTGCAGACTCTCAATGAGAAGATGCTGGTTCAAATCCCACCTGGGACCATTCTGCATTGTACTTCAATGATTTCCCTTATGACATTAGGGCCTTACTATACAATGACATATCTTACTATACTATAACATTTTTTGATGTTTTGATGCCTTGTTATACTATGTTGTTTTATCACTTTTTTTCCACAGTATACTGTGTTGTTTTTTTCACTTTTAAGGCCTTGCTGTACTATGACGTCTTCATATCTTAGTATAATATATTTTTTGATGTTTTTATGCCTTATTATACTATGTCGTTTTTTTCACTTTTTTGCCATACTATACTGCATTGTTTTTTTCACTTTTAAGGCCTTACTATACTATGAAGTCTTCATATCTTAGTATAATATGATATTTTTTGATGTTTTTATGCCTTCTTATACTATGTCGTTTTTTCACTTTTTTTCCATACTATACTATGTCGTTTTTT